TATATATACTATTAATACATTATTATATAATTATTTTACTCTTTTAAATGTATTTAAATAATTTGAATATTTACTTACTATTGCAAAATCTTAATTCAAATTTCAACCTTATTTTAATCTTTGAATTATGAATTATGAAGGATATATAGTTCAATCTTCAAAACCTTAATATCTAAACATATATTCAAAACGTTACGCACGTGTCTGTAGGCCCCAACTTTTTCCCTTCCGTGGATTTGCGGAACTAACTGCAAAGCAGCCAATCAATAAATATAAATTTAAAGGGTTTAGGGACAAAAACTAAAATATCTCGATTCTCGAGACAAGATCTTGCAGTACATTCTAAGAATATGCGCGATGCGCGATGAAAATAGGGCCCGCCCGGCCCCTTTTTCTGCATCCCGAAGAGAGACCAGACGTGGGGCCGGAAACAGTTAGAACCGCCGATTTCCCAGCGGAATGATGACGTGTCAGATATCTAATGGCTAGAAAATATTTATGCTATGCGAAGAAGATTAGAATTTTTTGGTTATTGTGTGTGTATGTAGATTTAGAGTGCCGGAATTAGGAATGGTTTGGATGGCACTTTCATCCTTTAATTTTGTACTAAAGTTTTTAATATTATATAATATATTAAAATATTTTTCTCTTTTATCTTAAATATTTAATATTCATTTAACATTAATTATACTTTATTTTAATAATCATATTTATTATATTTTATTACAATAAAGTTATGAAAGTTTTAAATTTAAATATTTACTACTATTTAATGTTTGATTTCTCCGTCTATCTCCAGTGTATGTGGGGTCTTTCATTATATCGTCTTTGAGATGTATTGTTGCAAAATCTTTGGGGTGACATCCTAGTGTTCGGAATGATGTGTCATTTTATTTGTTGCTTCCTAACTCCGTGATGTCCGTTGTCGCTTCGCACGGTGCTTTGTCGCAAAGAGTGGGGGGTGGCTGGCGACGGATGTCAAATGGTGGTCGGCAACATGCGACGACAGGTAATTGGTGGTGAAGTGATGCTATACTTTAGCTCATTCTCCAAATTTTAAGCTATTCCACATGTTTTAAACTCTCTCTCCTCCCTCCCCTCCGAAGAGGGGTGGACCTCCAATTATAGAGTTTGAAATGCAATTAATGCAGAAATATGAATCACTTTAATCAAATGGTCCGGGGAACTTCCATTGATCAGACGACGTTTGATGAATTTTTTAGTGTCTTAATGAAGTCAGAATTGAGCGATATTGGACTTGTTTGATTTGTCTAGTTGAGACAATTGATTAGATCATAAGCTCACCAGGTTCGATATTCGTTTGACCTTCCCAATATGACCGAAAAGCTTTCAAATTTGATTTAATGACTTGATGTGAGCTTTGACTTGCATTTGACCAAGTTTGATACCATCAATCATGTCTCATCGAGCAGGTCAGTTTGACTATAAGTTTGATGAAATTGGAGCTCTAGAAAACTTTTAATCAAAATTTGTATATTTATTGTCAAAAAATTAACTCGAGATTCATGCCGAATGTTAGAAATTTATTGATGACATATCATTTATAATTAAATTTTCTCAGAAAAAAAAAAGTTATAAGTCAATTAAAGAATCCTAATGTGAAGTTTCTTTGCAAGATGGCACAAAATACACCTGGAATTTGACTTCTGAAAGATGTAAAATATGACAACTCTTCCACGTTGGCATTGATAATAATAGAATAAAATTGTGTAATGCCTTAAAACAACCATTCTAAAAGATATTACATTTTAATAACATAGAGTTCTCATTCTCAAAAAAAAAAAAAAAAAAAAAAAATGGTCTTCTAAGAAACTAAACAATAAGCAAATTACAAGATGACTGCAGCAGGTCAAAAACAGATTTACTTACAAATGTTAAAATTGATACATGCCGACATAGCATATTGAATCTTTGTTCAATTCTCTTCTTAACTCATGCTAAGAAGCCCGAAAAAAAAAGAAAGCAATCCCAAATCATTCAGTTGCCAGAAAGTTAACTACATACAAACAAACAATGAAACAATACAGGTGCTGATACTTTTAATTGTAAAACATAAATGAAAAATATAATCCTATAAAATCAAACTTTTCCCCCTATACAAAAGCATCACCATCTTTTTCTGATAGAAATGTTAACAGCATTGAGGCCAAAGAATGTCAATTCTATCTAAACCAAACCATCTTGAAAAACTCGTGTTCGGTCCAGAGATAGCTCGTCAACAAATTTTAGAAGTCGAGCTAATTTCCATTGATTTTACGAAGCTCCATAAATGAATGATGAACTGCATGATGGAGTCAATGTATAGGGGATGTTGGACATAGGTCCCTGCTCTTGAGCCAGTTCATGGATGTCTTTAACAATGTCGAAGACCGCCTCCGGCTGTGCCAATTTTAGGGCGCACTCCGACATTTTTTTAAGCTCGGCAGAGTCGGCTCCAAACCACCGTGCAACGAGGCTTGCGGTCTGTTTGGAGCTTTTGCAGAAAACCCCGGCACCATTGTCAACCACATAGGGGACATTGCCCACTTCCTGAAGCATGGAAAAACTAATCAGGACATGCTTCTTCCACTGGAATTCTAACTTTAAGTAGCCTAAGCTAACTTTGCCATGAACATGCAAGGCAGTTGATTCTTCCAATTTCTACTCTGATCTACAAACAAGCACATGCTCATATCTGAGAAACTTCTGAATTATTTCATATCAATTTTGTTTGATGTTTTTATCTTTATTTTTACTTTTGTATTTAAATATAATATATATATATATATATATATATATATATATATTTATAGATAGATAGATAGATAGATAGATAGATAGATAGTGAAGTGTCAAAATAGTCCGTTGACTATTCAGATGAAGTCACTTCAGTCTAAAAGTCTATAAAAGTGTCAAATTTGTGTTCGAATTTTTTAAATTGGAGTTGAAATAGTTCACGTGAGAAATATTAATAAATTGACACTTTTGTAGACTGTGAGAATAAAATGAACTCCTACAAAGAGGATTAATTTAACAAATTTCTATTTATATAGAGGACAATTCTAATTTGAGCAAGGATGAAAAAAAGTTATGATTACACGTACAAACCTGTCCAGGAATGAAGTCATTTAGGATTATAGGGAGTCCCCTAATCAAAGCCTCGGCAATGGTTCCAGGTCCGGCCTACAACAATTAAATCAGGAATTTTATCATCACCGAGCTTAATTCAAATGAACACATAACAAACAATTAAGGTTCAAACTCAAGAAAAGAAATATATAGAACATACCTTAGTTATAATACAGTCACAAGCCCCCATCCATTTCTCCATCTGTGTCTCAAATCCTCTTATCTGCAGCAAATGCAAGTGGCTATAATTTAGTCTGCAAATCCATCTAAGCCTCTGCAAATCCATCATACCTTCACCGGGATTTTCCACTGAAGCGACTGAAGAGTGGAGCTTAGAGTTTGATTCCTTCCACAAATAACAACAAGTTGTCCCATTGGCTTTCCCTCAGAAACATCATACAGTGATTCTCCGAGGGCCTTTGCAGTCTTCTTGACCGGACCCATCCCCTCACCACCACCCATTAACAGCACAGCTGGAAGATCAGCGTCCATCTCAAGCTCTACCCTCAAGTCATCCTATAGATCATTCAACATTTGAACCCTCAAAAACCACAATTGCATAATATATATATGTGAATTATGACTGTTATGAAATAGATGTAATTAATAATGAAGTAAATCAAGAAAGAATGCACAGATTTTACGTGAAGAATTCTTGATTGTAAAAATAACAGGCAGATGATGAGAATTTATTGTGACAAATAAGAAAATCAAGTTGAAAGTTTCAACTAACATAAATTATTAGGGAAAAAATGAGTTGTCTTTTATAAACAAAAATAGGTATTTATAAACTTTTGCAAGTCCACTTTTAAAGAAAATAAGTAAGAGAGCGAGCCAAAACAATAAAATCAAGTGGTTTACAAATAGGATTAATCAAACACTAGAGACCTTCAATCAGTGTGCCCAAACTTTCTTTCTTGTGCTTAAATCCGAGTGATTATAATTTTCTTATAAGACAATCGGGCTCCATAAAATTCTGGTCATAAAATTAGCAATGAACAATTAACCCACCTTGGAAATAACGGCCCGACAAAATAATGGCCGGATGGGCAAGCCAAATACACGTATCTGGGAGGGTTGGAGGCCATCAAGCGAAGCCCGCTTTGCTACTTCCTTAGAAGGACAATAGCACCTATTGACATTAGTATGGAACCTGAGAAGAGCAAGAATTAATCATCCGTAACTTGAGAAATTGCAATCAAGGCATGCAATTCTTGGAGAATCCAAAAAGAAACAAGTTGGTGATCATCACCATGTGGGATGGCAGGTGTTTAGGTCAGTAATAACGGTAACAAAAACAACTCTTTTCTGGAGGTTTTGCCATTTGAGCACCCATAGAGGAATGTGCTGCATGAGGGGATGAACGCTTATGATGATATCTGGCTTGTACTTCTTAATGCCTGCCTCCACCTTCCTTCATCCACAAATGCAAAAGAAATATAAGAACTCAGCAAGGATGGTAACCACTTCTAAAACTTTATTATGAAGCCATGATGATGAGCATAATACCTAGATGAATCATTGTAGATTAATCAAGAGGAATAGAAAAGAGCAGAAAGAAGATTACTTGGCGTAGAATGCAGCAATGGCTGCGAGGTAGAAGCAATGTACCCAGCGAGGAGAAGTGCTGTGAAACGCAACCCTCCATAGCTGAACATGCTTAACCATGAATTTGTAGGATCTTTCCATGTTGTTCAATGGCCACCCTGCACTTTCCTTGCACACATCTTTCACAAACACCTGCGAGGTTTTAGAGAATCGAATAATCAATCATATACTGTGTTCCATAAATAAAAACCAAATTTATGTATTACATGGTAAGGGCAAGGCGTGGAGAGAGAAACAAAAAGCGATCAATGCTAGATTCACGAGAAGACTCCATTTAATTAAAAATGAGGTTTTTTTTTTCCATTTTTTAAATTTAAATCTTTTACAATAAGGGAACAAGAAGAGAGACACAACCCACCCAAGCCCCGACATGGATATTTGGAGCTCAAAGCTACATCTAGCACTGTTATGAGTGCGACTTTGAGATCATTTCAGCTCAAAGTAATGAGAGACAGAGAGAGAGAGGAACAAAAAAAAAAGGGTTATTTAAATAAGAGTTATTCAATTTAATGTCTATTGTAATATTATCTACATATTTATTTTTTGAAAAATTTAAATACATACCACTCAATTCTTTATGTGTATTTAAGTATCTAATACTAAAAATTTGATATTTGCATTTGTCATAAATTGACAAATGAAAAGTGTTGAATCCAAATCTGTCTGGTAGGTCGTGCCCAAGGAATGGAGCGTTGGACAGAGGAAAGATGATCGCGGAGAGAAAGAGAGATTAGAGAGAGGAGCAGAGGAAGACTTCCCCTGGCAGCGGGAAATGAGGTGTTCTTAGGCTCTCCGACCTATTTTATTCCATAAAGACATTTATTGCAAGTGAGGGGAGCCAAAATTCCCCTCATACATCATAAAACCCTCCTATTTATAGAAGATAGGAGGGCAAAAAAATATAAAAAATTACTTATTTATCCTTCGTTTAAATAGAAGAGCAAAACGCATTCTCGTCCCTTTATCTTGATGTCTATTGGAATATTATCTAAATATTTATTTTTTGGAAAATTTAAATACATACCACAAAATTCTTTATGTGTATTTAAGTATCTAATACTCAAAATTTGATATTTGCATTTGTCATAAATTGACAAATGAAAAGTGTTGAATCCAAATCTGTCTGGTAGGTCGTGCCCAAGGAATGGAGCGTTGGACAGAGGAAAGATGATCGAGGAGAGAAAGAGAGATTAGAGAGAGGAGCAGAGGAAGACTTCCCCTGACAGCGGGAAATGAGGTGTTCTTAGGCTGTCCGACCTATTTTATTCCATAAAGACATTTATTGCAAGTAAGGGGAGCCAAAAGTCCCCTCATACATCATAAAACCCTCCTATTTATAGAAGATAGGAGGGGTAAAAAAATATAAAAATTACCTATTTATCCTTGGTTTAAATAGAAGAGCAAAACGCATTCTCGTCCCTTTATCTTGGACCATTTTTTAGTATACATTTTTAGTTCCCCAATTTTCTTATCCTTGATAACGACAACTGCAATAAGGAAAAAAAATATAAATCAAATAAATCGTAAACACAAAATTCGCTAATGATACTCCTTGCTAGGCAATTTTTGAGCTTGGCTCTAATATCTTTGTCTTCATCTGTTGGGTTTGTTATTCTTGAGTTTTTTCTTTCAAGGGGAAGTTGTCGATTTCCGGTGACCGGTTGGAGGAAAAGTCGGTCGTCAGAGGGAGAGTCGGTCGTCGGAGGAAAGTTAGTTGTCGGAGGAAGAGTCTTGGATTTGCTCACCCCAAGGGGGAGGCTTGGAGATGCTCCCTGGAGGGGAGGCTTGGAGATGCTCCCTGGAGAAGAGTCTTGGAGATGCTTGACACGGAGGGAAGTCTTCGAGTTGCTTGCTCCGAGGGGAGTGAGAGTCTTTGAGATGCTTGCCCTGGAGGGGAGTCTTAGAGACTCTTCCGAATGTTGAAGGGAAGAATCCCAGATGGGTTGCAATTGGATTTGGTATTGGGTCAGAGAAGTTGTTTTCAGAGAGATCGAGAAATTTGAGATTGGTGGAGTTAAGGATGAAGGCTGAGAATTTTCCATCCATAGAGTTGAGTGTAAGGGATAGTTTGATGGACGAAGGCGTGGCCTCAACCTTGGAGTAAACAAATTTGATGAGATAATTGGGTCTAAAGTCAAGAAGACGAACCTTGCAAAGATGGTTGAGTTGTTAGGGGACGATATCAATGAGATTGCTATTTAAAAGCAGGAGGTCATTTCGATCCAAAAGGACACTAATTTTCGATAGCAGAATCGTGAAACTGTTATTGCTGAGATCGAGGAAGGTGAGTTTGGAGATAGCGAAGATTTTCAAATGGACGAAGTCAGAGAGGAGGTTATTGTTGAGGTTTAGCAGGGTGAGACTCCTAAAAGCTAAAAATTTGAAGTCGTCGAGAGTATCGTTGAGGCCGAACTTGGAGAGGTTTAAGGCGACGGCACGGGATGGCCGATCAGGATTGTGGTGGCCGGCTGATATGGGATGGCTGACTGAAAAACATGGTGTGAGGGACTCTTCTAATTGGCAGAAAAAAAAGAACAGTTAGAACTTTTCACGGAAAAATGCTGTACAACTGGTTAGCGAGCGATTGGTCGGCCAGATGGGGACGTGACCGGACAACAGGTTGACGGCTGGTCTATGGCCCGTGAAGCGGGACTGTTGTACGTTGGTTCTGCACTGCTGAGGGAGTTTGGAAATAACTGGATCCCACAACGGAGGGAATGCCATATGTTTTACAAAAGTATGGAGTTCTTCGAAGATCGTGTTGGGTAAGTTCTCATCGTTCTTTTTGTAAGAAGAGCCACTTTGAAGAGTTTTTGTTCGACGTCACTTGCGTCTTATTGATGACATGATCCCCACACTCACCGCACCTTAAAGGATGTTGAATCCAAACCTGTTTGGTAGGTCGTGCCCAAGTAATGGAGCACTAGTATGAGGAAAGATGATCCATGAGAGAGAAATGAGAGAGAGAAGGAGAAGAGGAAGACTTTCTCCAACGAGGGGAAATGGAGTGTTCTGAGGCTCTCCGACTTATTTTATTCCATAAATTCATTTATTACAAGTGATGGGAGCCAAAATTCCCCCAATACATCATAAAGCCCTCATATTTATAGAAGATAGTAGAGACAAAAAAAATATAAAAAATTACATATTTAGCCTCACTTTAAATAGTAGTGCCAATGGTATTCTAGTCCCTTTATCTTGGACCGTCATATTGCCTCGAGATTCGTGCAGACCATTCTTGAGTATACAAAAAGATATATTTTACTTTTTGAAAAGATAATGATATGGTTTTTTTATGTGATTTTAAGGATTTGAGTTGTATGCATGTAAATATGAATGTTTGAGTGTTAGCTATATATTTAAATACAAAAGAATTGTGTGGTATGCGTAAATGCCTCTAAATTTTTTGGTTGTTGGATTATTATCTTAATTGATTTGCAAATACTAACTTCAAAAATTATTCCACTTTTCTAATTATTAAATGTTTTAAAATAATTAAAATTTAATTTTAAAAACAAAAGTAACTCAAGCAATGTACGTATAGAATAAATAAAAAATAATAATGCTTAATTAATAAAGAATTGTTTTGAAAACTTTTCTTGTAATTATTTAAAAGTAAAAATCTATATCAAAATTCATTTTTATCTTCAAATAATAAAAATTAATTAGTACCAGCTTTGAGTTTGACAGTTTCTTTATAAACACAAGGGAAAAAAAAAACACAATTATCTGATAAGCTTGATATTCCAATCTGATCTTCATGTTATTCACATTTTTTATTATAAGCTGTATTTCAAATATAAAGACAATACAAAAAAGCAGATTGACTCACTAAGTTATTAAAAAAACTTAATTAATTTTAAATTTAACTAATTTAACCAAGTCTTTAACAAAATTAAATTAAATAATTTCATAAAAGATCTTTTTTTCATATACCTTTCTAATTTGGATTATCCTAAAGCTTAAACCACTGCAAAATTAAATTTAATAATATATGTTATGATTATGCAACCACTACAATTATTTGTTTTATAAGAAAACAGTTAAATTTCAAAATGCAGCCAAAATGTTACAGATTTACTTCAGGTGAAAGTTACAAAAAAGCTTTTCAAATCATTTTTAAGAAGAAAATATATGAATTTTAAAAGGTCATCATTACAGTTTTTTTTTTAACTCTTTTTTTTTTCATATGCTGTTATATTTTACCTTCGATATAGAAAATGAGACATAAATTCAGTATTTTTACATTTAAAACTTTAAGTTTGTACCTTATCATATAGATTTAAATATTTTAAAAGAGCATTTGTTAAGTAAGCAAGAAGGCAAGAGAAAAAAATAAGAAAAAATAAAAAACTATGATACACAATATATTTCGGCTAGATTATAAGAATGAGCTCATAATTTTTGTATTTTCACAGATCATTTGCAATTCGTTTTGAGTAAAACCTCTGCAAAGTATAAAACACATATAAAGTGGGCATTCTATGTGTTTCTTGCAAGAGACGCTTCCTTCTTCTTTTCACAACTCATTCTCCTCACACTTTTCTCGTGTTCTTCTTCCCCCACCTTTCCCCTCACACTTCTCTCATTCTCTTCTTCCCCCACCCACATATTTGCTTCTTCACATATTCCCCTACTTTGATCTAATATCTCTCTCTTCTCCTTATTAAACATTTTTTTCCACTATCTTGATCTTCGTTTAACTAATCTTAATTTTCTCTCTAAATTTATTTTTCTAATATAATTTTGTTTCATTTTCGAACGCCTTTTTTAAGTAGGATCAATCTTCTTCATTGTGTTATCAAATATTGTACGTATAAATACCGTCTAATTTTTCTTAAATTATTTTCACCATGTCCAAATTATTCACACATTTTTTTTATTTAGAAATTATTATTTTAAAAAAATTATAATTAATTTGAATAAAAATGTTAATTAATTTATATTTTATGTATTATAGTTTATTATTTCTATCTTAATTATTTTTTGTACAATTTAATAATAATAATATGAAAAATAATTTAATAAGTTAAGGACAGTAATCATTGTACATTGTTTGAAAACCCGACAATGCAGTACTAATGGTCCGAAAGAGGTTGAAATAGTACCTCGACTGTCTGGTATAACAACAA